CTGGCAGGAGGACCAGCTGCCTGCTCAAAACCCAGAGTTAAAATTGTTCCCCAAATGCCAACTCAATCTTTGACTCTCCCCACTCCTGAACTCATTAGGGCTCCTCAGCCTTGCTAAATAAGGAAGAAACCTGACATTATCATAGCTTTCCCTCTGCTGTATCCTCTGCTGGCGTCCCCACACTTAATCCTATCTCAGGATTGTCAAACAGGTATTTGTATCTTTGTTTTAATGGAAGAAAACATTCAGGTTCAGGGAAGTAAAGTCATTTACCCTGTTCACAAACAGAAATTGTAGCATTTACACCAAGGTCTACACCACCTTACATTTTGGGGTACCCATTGAACCCCATCTTTGCTTTGCTAGCCCCATTTGCAGGCCTTTTGAATGACTTCTTCTGTGTTTATGCTGATCTCAGCTTGGAGCTCACAGTGACCAGGTGCCAGGGGGCCAACTCTTCAGTCTGTGCTAAGCCCCACTGTCGACCTCTTGGCAGTTTCTAGAGGTCTTTCTTCCATCCTGTCTTCTTGGGAAATATTATTAATGGGGGATATGTCAGGGTTCAAACAGTGTTGAAAATAAAACCATTGCTGAAAACGGTACTGTTACTGGGAGTGTGGAGGAACTAGAAAATTAAATTAGGAAATGGCAGTGTGGGCTAGAAGGTATATAATTTAGGTCTGGGTAGAAAAGTGAGACAGACATGTCAAAAAATAAAGGAGGAAGGAAGGAAAGAAGGATGGGGCGGGATAAAAAGAAAAAAGGGAAGGAAGGAGAAAGACAAAACTTGCTAAAAGACCTAGGGTATTTATTGCTTCTGAGAATTCTTGATGACTTTCTCTCCCCCTGCCACCCTCATCTTCCAGTCTTAATTGATTATATCAGGAAATTAGCTCTGTAAAAACCTCAGGCAGGCTTCTTAGGGACAGTGACAAGGCAGGAATTCAAGCCTGACTTGGAGACTGTGGGGAGCCTGCATGTGGTCTGCAGGTAAACAGGCTTTCTTTCTATCGGGATTAAGGCTCACAATGTGATAGGGCTGCATTTCCCTGAGTTTTTTTCCCCAAACCCATCATGTATTTATGTTACTTAATATAATCTAAGTCTGGTCCTGATAGTGTGTCATTAAGCAGATCATCATGTATCATTATCATTATTTTTTTCAGGTAGACAACTGAAAATAGAGGGATGGTGGTCTGGTACATTCTTGCTTGCTCTTGATAGTGGCCCTTTTTCAGGAATCGTGCAGGAGTCCTGCCCTGACTCTGAGAAGGGACTATCCTCTGTCACTGCAACGAATGTTTTTTTTTTTGGTCATTCTCCCTAAATTTGGAGCGAACACCAGCTTTCTACCAGGTTGTCCATTCAAGAAGGCAGAACGGTCTCCCTCCCACTCCTATGCCAATCATGCTTTCTGCCCCATCCTTATCTTTCCTGAGTGTGGGTGGGGTGGAAAGGGAAAGGCTGGGATAAGGGAAATGTGGAGCAAGCAGGGGGTTTAGGTGGTCCTATGGGATTCTGACTTCTCTGGAGTAGTGCTGTGTCCCCAGAGATGCCGGTTTCAAAGGGATTAGAATATTAATGCCGCTAACTCCTGAATACAGAGAGCTATGAGCAAGGAATAAAACCCTGGAGAAAATAGAAATCAAAGATGTATTGAGAAAAGAAGAGAGGAGGGAAAGTACTAAGCTGAGTTCTCAAAGAAGCCTAAGGGAGGATGAGCGTGAAGGGCACTGGGGAGCATATGCACACAGAAGACTGAAATGTGGTGCTAGGGTCAAGGCCAGGTGAATTTCCTTCCACCATGGGAGACCCGAGGCCCTGGGACTGTTGTGCTGGTGGGAAGTAAAGGCCTTCCTGCAGAGGATCCTTGGTGGGGGCCGATGGGTGGAAGTCCATTGGCTCTCCTTCTCTTGTCCAAGTGACCTCCACTTGCACCCTGGAGGAGAATTAACACATCCTGGGAGAAGAGATATCTCTCACACCCTAGCACGGCTTCTGTTGAGGAGTGAGGGTTAGCAGAAACATGCTTTCTGAACTCGAGGGTTCTTATAAGGAAGAAAAGAATTTTGCTGGAGTAGCTTCTAGGATCACAGGATCACACTTCCCTAGCAAATGTGCTAGGGAAAGGCAGTGCCAAGTTCAGCCCAGGTCCCAACAAAGGCCTGAGGGAAGCCGAATGAGGACCGGAAGGGAAGTTTGTAGAGTCGCTGCCATGTCACAGGCACTTCACGTGTGTATTTCTTTTACACCAGCTTTATCCAGATATAATTCCCATACGTATAATTCACATTGGGAGTGCACATCAGTGTTTTTTTTTTTTTTTATTTTTTAAGCATTTTCACAGAGCTACACAACTATCATCACAATCAACATTAGGATATTTTCATCACCTGCAAAAGAATCCAATACCCATTAGCTGTCATTCCCCATCTCCTCGGCAACCACCCATCTTTCTTTCTCTATAGATTTGACTAAACATCTCATATTAAAGAAATCAGACAGTATCTGGCCTCTTTCATTTCACATAATTTTTTCAAAGCTCATCCATGGTGTACCATGTACCACTCCTTTATAGGGCCAAATAATATTCCATTGCATGGCTATACCTCATTTATTGATTTGTCAGTGGGTGGCTATGTGGGTTGTTTCCACTTTGGGGCAATGAATAATGCCGCTGTAAACATTTGTGACTTTTGTGGGGACATGTGTATATTTCATTCGGTCTCCATAACAACAAAACCACTATAACCGACTCATTATCTCATTTTGAAAAACTGCAGCTCAGGGAGGTGAAATAACATTTTTGAAACTGAAAAGCTTTTCTCCACTTGCTGTGACTATGGTAGAAGGGCAAATAAGGGAGAATAAAGGGGCATTTTGCTTCACCTTTCTCTGGTCGTTATCCACATGATTGGGCAAGGAGAGCTGAGGAAAGGCATGAATGAGTGAGCGTGCGTCACTGGCCGCCCGTGGTAGGCACTGCTGCTTTCCCTCTGGAGGCGGGTCTGGGGGCAGGGGGCTGTTTGCCTAGCCCTGGCATGGCTCTGAGTTCTGGAGGGATGTCCCCTTCCTGCTCACTCTCTTTATTTCAGTGGCAGACATGAGAATAGGTGCAGAGCTGCTCAAGTCTCTTGCTGGGGTCACCTTGAGAGGAGCAAGATGGGAAGTCTCTGTAACAGGGCCCCCATGCTGAGAGGGCTCCCCAGGGTGGGCTCTGCGGAGCCCAAACCAACTGCCAGCAAGAAGAGCTCCTATGAGAGGAATCCAGCATGTGCCCAAGGACAACTCTATGGCATGGAACAACAGGGTCATCCAGGCTGTTGGCTCTGCTTCCTTCTGGCCCCAGGGTTTTCCCAGAAAGTTCTTGGACATGGAAGGGTAGGTGACGTGCCGCCCCATTAATGTGATTTTGATGTCTCCGCAGAACTCAAGCCCAAACCGGTAATCATTGACCCTCAAGTCTCCCTGGGGCATTGCAATAGAATCTACAGGAAGGCTGGCTCTCCAGCAAATCCACTGCCCTATGTTTTATCCTAAAACCTTGCCCTTCTTGTCACCTTTGCGGAAAGGTGATGCTAGTGCAGCCTTGACACTGGTGTAGAAAAGCCCAGAATTAAATGCAGCACAGATACAGACATGGCTGGATTCTTTCATTCTATGCATGGCTGGCACTTGAAAGAGAAACTAGAGCTGGAGGTCATATTACTGAAGGTGTTAACAACTTGATCACTTCCTATATCCCATTGTTGTCTAAGCTCTTTCTGTCCATCTATAAGATACATATGAAGGTCCGCATTTTTCAGATGAGGAAATTGACACTCTGCAAGACTATGTAGCGATCACTGTTAACTCTAGTAAGTGACTGACTTCAGATTCAAACCCCCAAACCTACTTCTTACATCCTGTCTAGTAGGTCACTTGATGGGGACTATGACAGGAAAATTTTGAACAGGAGCTAGAATGTGGAACTAGATGGTACTTAAAATCCCCCTCTGAATCCAAGAACTGGTGTTCTATGCCTCCAACTTGCATGTCTATCAAACTGGGTGGTTCCACTCTCACTGCCTGGATGCAGTGAAATGGACACTAGTCCCAAGTCCTGATACTCAAGCTGGTTTTTCCCCATTTTGTGCATCTCAAGCTTGGGAGTTCTATATATTTTCTTTAAAGCAAAGTGTATTTTCTTGTTGTAGACATTCCCTATGTTCAGGCCTCCTGTCCACATGGAATTCATTCCTGTCTGGGTTGGAAAGACTGAGTTGATGTAATACCAACTCAAACCACAGAGAACTAGAAGGGTCAGACTAATAACAGGATCTCCGCACACATCATAAATACAACTTTTTATAAACATTTAAATTTTCACTAAACTGCAGTGCCATTTGAGGTGGGTGGCTCAATATGTGAAATTTAAGAATAGTGTCATTACAGATGGGTCCAGTTTCCAGAACAACAACCTCTACCCAAACACACATACTTTTACAAAATAAACAAGGGGGAGGATGAGTGTTTGATTTGCAAAAATTATTCTTCACTTTACAAAAAAAATGCTATAGGATTCCTTTAAATACTTAATATTCTATTGTGTATATAACATGACTTTACTATACACAATTTCTGTTCATATACCATCTTCTGGGACACACATACTTTTCAATATAAGATTATATATTCAAAGTAATAACGTTCTTTTTAATAGTATTGAGAATAAAGATGAACAGACTATGGATCATTTAGTCTTCAGTCCTAAATTCATTAGAAACTAGAACTTACTTTAGGGTAGTGACCTTCAGGAAGGTCTGGACTGAAACTAAGAGAGTGGTCTGAGAACCCGAGTTAAAATCAAGTCCACCAGAGATAGATATGACCCTTTTACCCTTTCCTGTGTGGAAGGCCCTATTTCTTCCTGGTGCACACTGATTAAAATTTTACTCAGGATTCTGTAGAGACCTGTCCTCTCTCTCTGTACAGTAATCATGTTTGTTGTGTTTTACTAGGGATCTTCCAGACTGGGTCTTCACCTCCATCCTGGGTCCTGACCAAGACATCTTGGCAAGTTCCAAGCCCAACAGCTTAAATCCCAAAGAGGGCAGCTCTTGTTGGCCTTATCAAGGTTCACTCTATATGAAACTTTGAAAATCATCTCCTGCACCTCTTCAGACAGAGGCAGTGACTTGAATTTCATGTTGACTTCTAAATAAGAAACCCCTTGAACATCCCAGGCTACAAGAAAGCTGGTAAGCATTTGGTTGGGTGAAGCCACTGAGGCAAAGCCTGTCTTCCAATCATCAGTCCTAGCCAGGTTTTACAGAGACTGAATCCCACCATTAAGAGAGCAGCATTAAACTGATATTGCCCTCATCATGTCCCCTTTTGAAAAATCAATAACCACTCTGAATCTTCTTCAACTTCAATGAGTATTTCTTTGACAAATATTTATTGAGTTTGGTCTCTACCTAGCATTGGAATAGGGAGGTATCAGTGGAGGACACAGTTGGTGTTGGTGCCCCCAGATCAGCCCAAAAGTAAAGGTCATGTTAAGATTACTACTGTTCATGCTGCAAATGAAAAGTACAGCACCATTAAATATCACACAGGAGACATGCAGATTGAAATTGGGGTCGTGGTCAGGAAACTCCTCTGTCTTTGAGAAGCTGACATTTAAATTTCTTTTTCAGAAATAACTTTTTCATTGAAGTCAAGAAGTCAGGTGGGTGTGGGGAGAAGCGAGTGCCTGGCGACCCCAGCAGGGGAAATAACATGGGAGGCAGGGTCAGAGAGGTGGAGTGACTGCCCAGCTTCTTAGTCAGAACCAGGCAGGGCTGGACCTGTGGTCATGTGTCTTCTTGCCTTTGTTCCTCTGTCTGCCAAAGCTGGGCCTGCTGCTGCAGCAGTGGAGGCAAGAGCCTCGGCTCACTGCCACTACCTGGTTCTCCTTATCCAGCAGGGCTGGAGGGTCTCCATCTTCCCACCGTAACCGTTGTCATCAGAATAAACTTTTGACTGTAGAAGATGCCAAACCATACCCTGTAGAGATTTATAAATGTCTCCAAGTGGAAGATGCCTTTCCTATAATTTCAGGCTATTGCCTACAGTTTTCTCAAAGGACTACCTGTAGAAGTTTCCATAAGAAGCATAGTGCTTCATGGTATATGATCTTCAGCAACATCCCCAGTTGCCCCTTAATTCCATCAATATTATGACCATTTTGGAACTCTGAGGTCCCTCTAGTGACATCAGGGCCTGTGGTCTTCTCCTCCAATGCACACCCTTGGGTATAATCCAGCGTACCATGTACCTTCTGCCTGCCCCACCTCTTCTCTCCACCTATTTTGGTGCATTTGAATACTCTTCTTTGTCTCTAGAAACCCATCCCCTCCCCAGTAACCAAGTCCTCCTTGTCCTTTAAGGCACAGTATCTAATACGAGTTTTATTTCTTGCTAGTTCTTTCCCTCTGATGTGTTCTCTTACATGAAGCAAAGCAATATATGAAAAGCCATCATTTCTGAGTCATAGCAAGCAGATGCTAATAAATGTACGCCTTCTTTCCACATTGTTTACCAACTATGTGGAGTATGCCATAGGGCCTAAAAGCAAAGACTTCTCCGTCAGGTGGATCCAGATTCTTCTAATTTTTTATTTTTTTGGCCTTTTGTGACCTTGGGCAAGTTGCTTATCTTCTCTGAGCCTCAGTTTCCAGACTCTTAGAATTACTCTGAGATCTGAATATGATACTGCATGTCAGAGATTTCATACCGGTGCCTGGGCAACTCTTTCAGGGCCCCGAATGTCACTACTAAAGAAGGGCACTATTTGCCTTGTGCTCTAGGGGTCGCTGTTCACACAGAATGCAGCTGTGCAACCCCTGGAGCTGGCAACAGGATACTGACACCTGGAGACTTTTCTCAGTCCTGCTCTTTCCAGTCATTCGTTTTGAGCTATGCACCTCCACTTTTTCCTTGTCTTACTGGAAAAAGTAAGTAACTCTGGCACGGTCCACTCACACCCAAGAAAACAACGTTTCCCCTTGGTAACATGCCATGCTCTATTAAGTTTAAGAATAATTCTTTAAAAATCTTTGGAGAAGCCAAGTGCCTTCAACTGTGCAACTTTCTCTTGTTCCTTAGGGCTCTCTCACTTTCCTGCCACCCTCCTCAGCCCCCATGGCTGTACTACTCTCTTTAAAACTCAGAAGGAGGCAAAGACAGTGTCCCCTTTCTGTCCTTCTTTGCATAGTTGTGCCATGCTAGCATTTTTTAAAGAAGCAATTATGAAAAACAATAGAAAATGACATTGGAAAGGCACACAGAATAAATGTTCAGCTTCCAAAGCATTATTTTCTGACTCTATATAAAATACACACTGTCACCAAAGATGAGTAAGTTCTCCGGGACACTGTCCCTGGGTCTAGCTTTGCCAGATCTCAGACTGGATGGATAGAAACATCACAGCTCCCAGTGTTTCCCACTGGGACCCATGAAGAGGTATAGCTTTTTGTAGTGAGAGTTTAATTATCTCAGGCTAAACAAGGACCCTGGTAAACAAGTTAGCTAGATGGAATTTAAAATCTGAACTTAAAGATTCTAATTTCTTTTAATGACTTTTTGTATTTAGCTGGGTTATTTCCTTGATTCTTCACATCTTCATATTAAGTGTATATAAGCATGTATGACTTCTGGAAACAACCAAAGGGGCTGGTTCTTACCACTTGGCTTTTATTATCTCTTAGTTCCACTTCTTATTTTTTTATTTTTATTTTATTTCTTTGGTACCAACGATTGAAGCCAAGGGTGCTTAACCACTGAACCACATTCCCAGATGTTTTTTTTTTATTTTATTTTATTTAAAGACAAGGTCTCAATGAGTTGCTTAGGGTCTTGCTAAGGGCTGGCTTTGAACTTGTAACCCTCCTGCTTCAGCCTCCCAAGCCACTGGGATGGCTAGCATGTGCCACTGTGCTGGGCCGCTCCTCTTCTTTTGTTATATGCTTATGACCTTTTGTATTGCCAAGGTCCTACAGTCAGTGATCACAGAAACACCCTGTATTTGGGCAAATTGGGCTTTTAGAAGCTAGTGAGAACATGTGCCATGAACATCCTTAGGAGTCTCACCAAGGTTTAAGTAGAATTTATGTTTGATTTAGGTGACTTGGGCAAGGTCTAAGGAAGCAACAGAGTGCTTTGGATTAAGTGCTGTCAGGAACTGGGGGGTAATTCTTTAGATACGATAATAAATCTTATTATCCAGAAGGAAAGAGAATTGGCATGTTCTGGGTAAAGATGCATCAATCACTCAAACTAGCCAGTACAGGGGGATTTGGGGTTGTTTTGTGGTTTGAACAACAGTCATGTTTTTGTCTGTGTTCGAACAAGATTACAGAGAGGGCTTGTTTTCATCCTGATCCATCATGGTCAGAGTGGTCTTGCCTGATGCTGATGTTTGTGAAGTTGTCTGACTTCAATATGAGAACAGCAAGATCTTGTCTTGACTGTCAGCCCAGCTCCCAGATGGCAGCGGCAGCCGTCTTCTTTTCACTTCTTCTCTTCTTCTCTGAGCACATATATGGCTACTGATTCAGGTCAAACCGGAGTTAATGCCTATGGCAAAAGAGGAACAGCATCGTCCCTGGGTACCATGCCTCTGTTTAGCTTTGCCAAGGATATTCTCTCCCTCTGTCTCAGTCCTACCTTTCCAAGATAAGGCTTCCACCTGGATTACAGACAAATCCTTTATTAAAACATGTGTGCAATTCTTAGGTCTTCTGTTCCATACTGGGAAGTGGACCGGCCCAATTCACAGACATATTGTGTGGTCAGAACCTTAGTTGCCCTCTCTTGAAAGCCTTTTTTCCTTTTTGCTGTGGTCTCCCATACAGCCCATTTCACTTTGCGTGATCAATCCAAGGTGGCTGTGGAGTTAGTGCCAACTGTTTAAACTTCTGTACTAATTTAAATTTGTGAAGCACTAATAACAATTGCCATTATTTATTGCATATTGCAATGTTCCAGGAACTTTATGGATACCATTGCATTTAAATCACACTGTGACTTTTGCAAGTCTATTATTAGAGCCATTTCACAGGTGAGGAAACTGAGGCTGAGAAAAGATAAGTGGCTTGCTCAGGTCACCTGGCCATTAAATAGCAGAGATAGGGTTCAAGTCCATGTCCCTGCTTACCTAACCTGGAGCTCCTTCCACTCTGCCATGCTACCTCTGGTTGTTATCTGTGCTGGGAACATTCCTGGCCCAGGTCTCTTCATTTCTCATGATGCTCCATGCACAATATACCAAGTTTTCCAGATCATGCCACTAAGACCAGCTGTCCCTGGAGATATCTACAGGACACAGAGTGCCTACAAGATCGCCAACACCATCAGACCTTGCTATTCCCTAGCTCTTGTTGCCAGCTCCTCCTCTTTACAAGGAGGGAGGAGATGGGGAAGGCCCGCACTGCATTTAGACCCCAGGTACACTGACTTCACAGCAGAGAGGTGCCAGGAGGGCACTTACCCCGAGGAAAGGTGGAGGATTCCCCCAGTGTGTTCTCCAATCCAGCCTGGAAGAGGCTAGGAGCCCAGGTACCTCTTTTTATACATAAGAGGCCAGGGAAGATTGTTTCTACCAGCCATGCCAAGGTCTATATAAAAAGAGCCCCAGTGACCCCAAGTGAATTGCCTGAGAAAGACAGTAGAGATAACTTCTCTGGCATTTTAATCAAAAAGAAAATGCCATCCTCTGTCTACTATAGACTCTGGATGTGATAGGGGTAGTCCAGGGAGCTGGATGACTTAATGCTCCTTGATGCTCCAAATATTTGCAAATCTAGCTGGGTGACTGTGATCCAAAAGTTCAAGATGGTTTTCATAGAAAACTGGAAGTCTTCTACTATTGAAGAGGACAAGCTCTACACTCAGCCATTGGGTCCCCTCTTTGGTGGCTGCCTTCACCCTGGTGTCAGTGCTTTCAGCAAACCTGTTGTGTTGCAATTATTAAACTACTTCTCTGGGAACAACGTGAGAGCAGGAATTCTTATTACCTTGTTCATCTCCAAGCATAGCACCTGGTACATAGTAGACGTTCAATAAATACTGGTTAAGAAGGCAGAGATTGTACCCAGTAATCCCATTGAATGCATTGCTATGGAAGGTCCTCAGGAAATATTTGTTGATTCAATTGACTCTTGGCCCGAAACAAAGTAGTAAAATTTCACAGAAACTTGAATTACTTTTGTACCACGGTTGCCAAGGGACTACACAAAATCATTTGACGTCTGCTTTCAGACCACATAGCTCAGATTTCCTACCTCTAACATAAAATTTTGACCCTCAGAAATGTCCTGAAGTTAACTAAGGTTGTGTATGAGCTGTGAGAGGTTTAGCTAAAAGGAAGACATAGTCCTTTTTTGTTCATTTTTATAGAAAAATAATAGCCTTTGTAATTCTAAGTCAGAGGTAATAAAAGCAGCGCCTGGGTTTCCCACCCACTCTCTGATACAGTGGCTGCTAAGCATTCTGGGAGTGGAAAGGTAGCAGTGTAATAAGTGCTATAAGAAATCCCCAATTCACAAGGGCTTGTTCCCAGGTAGATGCCTGCAAACAGCAACAGCAACAACAGCCAGCCCTAGGTTCTTCACATTTTAGCCATGAGCATCAACTATTGGTACCTCACTTAAAATAAAGAGGGTTTAGTGGATGTTGCTTGCAAATGAAGCATGTGTTTTTATGAAGCATGTGTTTTTATGGAGACAAGGAGATTCAGGAGAAAGATATGTTAGTTTTCAAGAATTCGAAAGGTCTGAAACAGGATGCTTCAGGCTTATTTAGAATTATGAATTGTCCCTAGAGCACAGCTAGATGGGTGTTCTTTACCCCAGTCTCTCCTGTACATCTGCAACAAAAATATAACAAATGACTCTGGAGCGCTGAGTGACTAGACCCTTACCAGCCCAATGTCTCACAACGCCCCTGGCACTCTAATGACATGTTTTCCTGGAACTTCTTTCAGCTTCTTTGTGCTTGTTTTCTCCTGTCACTCCTGCCTGAGCCAGATACACAGTTAAATTCAGAGTGACTATTGCCATGCATGGGAATGCCTCTCCTAGAATATCTGTATTAGAGAGGGAGCCCTTTGGCTTCTAAGCAATCTGTGTGACAGCAAACTCCTCATTTTTGTACATTGATTAATGTATTCATCAGCGTTCAATAGATATTTATGGAGTTCTGCTACGTGTGACTTCTAACACATCTTCAGGCCTTGGGCTTGGTGTTATTGCTCTGCCTCTCAAAACTGATGGTCTTCGGAGTGCTCCCACTGTTACATATCATGGCGACATCACTCTGCATTTGGGTGTTTATGGGATTATCTGCACTCCCGCCCCCTACTCACCAGGGAGCTGCATAAAGACAAGGATTGTGTCTGGTAGACTGCCTTTGTAATGACTAGCACAATGGCTGGCACACATAGTCACATCAAAATATCATTATTGAACAACAATGGATAAATATATGCATACATAAGTACAGTGAGTTTGCTGCCAGTTGAAATGTTTTCTCAGAGGCCAGATTTGCAGTTAAGAGGGATCTTGTAGAGAAGTTGTGCTTTTTGGTATTATACAAACCACATTGCGTTGTGATTGCTGATGCACTAAGCTCACTTCCCCATTTGTGAGTTCCTTGAGAACAGGAAGAGTTCTGTCATTGAAACCCTACAGAATAAGCACACAATCAATGTTTGAGAAGTGTACAAAAAGTCTGTTTTCTGAGCATGAACTATTTACACAACAAGAATGCTGGAGCATTAGAGAAAATGCGGGAATAGTGTAATCCACTTGTTTTGTAGGCTACCAAGAATACCTTGATAAATATTAGCTGATGTGCAACCCTTTGCTTGCTATTTAGATTTACTGATTTCAATAGAAAGGAACCTAAAAACTGGCATGTTATACAATCCAGATACCAGGGACGATTTCTAATCACCCCGTAGTTCATAAAATACACATTGGCTCGGTCTGTGGTTGGATTAAATGCCATTGTTTAGGCAGAGTAGGATATGTGCAATAATAGGTCTGCTGAGTGAATGACGGGTTTGGTTAGTGGATGAATTTATCCTGTGTCCTTGCATTTAGTACAATTCTTTTCACTCTTTGAACAAATAAACCAACAGCATTGCTAATCCAGTACATATAAAAAGCACCTTTGGTAAATGCCAGTTTTTCCAGAATAAACCCAACAATAAAGATTACTTTTAAATCTCAGTTTCTTACATAACAGTGGCTCTTGTATAGAGAGATTAACACGGTATCTTGTTTCTTCCTGGTGTGATCTTACTTTCATCTTGTGAATATGTCCCTGTTTATGTCTGTATATTCACCTGTATCTTTGTGAATTCTTGGAAAAATTCAGTATCTCAGCACGTTTCAGAGACTAAATAGGCTAGAAGAATGATGATAGTTAATTGTTTCAGGCCAGAAGTTACTTGGCACGACTTGGGAGAACGGCAGGAGAGCAATGGAGCATGGCAAAGGAGAGGTGGGCAGTCCACGCCTGCTGCCCAGGGACCTTAACTGGTGGTTTGTCATGTCTTAGCATGACGGTATTTCAAACCATGTGAGTTTGAAAAAATATATATACCCAGCTCAGGGCTTGGTCTGTGAACAATCACCTGCCTTGATTTAAAGCACACAACTCTACTATTGAACCAAATGTTTTGAAGCTAATTAGCCTCAGACTCCAGGCTAAAACCTAAGATAAATTAGGCTGGGTCTAAAAAGAAATCAACTTGCACAGAGACCAGTTCTCAACACCACCACTTCCTTGCCTGTAGCAACCATGGATGCTTCGGGTCGGAATTTGTTTAGCATGCTGGTAAGTGCAGATCGTCTGGGGAAAGCTTTACAGATTGGTTGCTTTTGTTTCACTTCTTTATAAGTCCAGGCAAATGATGTTTTATTATTAATAGACTCATGGAAACCCAAACTTATGAAAGAGGTGAATCAGAAGGTACTTTACAGAAATATTCTTAACCCTTGAAAGTGAAATGAATCTCATGGAAGTTGATGGAGAAAGGTGTGGGGGAAGAAAAACTCAGAAGCTAGTGTTTCAGGGGTCAGCTCTGAAGTTATAAGGAATGACAAAGAGAATGTGGATTCCATTGACAAATGTTACTTTTAGAATTATTTAAGGTGAGATCTGCTCTATAAAGAACTTTGTAAACAGTATGAGCTTCCATGCACCTGGGAGAGGGAGTCAGTCCCTAGAGGGGGCAGGTCAGGTTAAAAGATGCCTGTGCAAAGCAAGGAGAGTGACTAGGGAAGGAGACTATTTTCCCAGCTAAGTGCCTCACCTGGGACCATCCCCTAATCCTCTTTGGGGACTTGAGGTCAGGAAGGGTTGGGCTGGGGCCCTCTGAATGTGTGAAGGTTTGTTTGCTTTCTTGGTAGCCCTTTCTTGTTTATATCTTTAGAACCTGTCCTTTACATTTCAAATCACACTGTGGTTTTCTTTTTACCACTCCTACTTGGTGTTGGCTTCTTGTGTATTTACCTGAGCTAGGGCCATGAACAAGACACTGTGGAATATCACTTTTGTTTAAAAGGTATCATTAAGTCGGTTTCGCTTCCTAGTTTTTATGAATAAATACACTTTTGAAGGGGGATTTTGAGATCTATTTTAAAAACATATTTGCATTTATTGAAAAATACCATGAAGGCATTGTTAACCACAGTAGGCACACCTTGATTTTCTTTGGTGTAGGGGAAGAGGTAGTCTAGTGTTTGTGACCTCTAATTTTCACCATTGTTGCTGTTTGGGGAAAAGTTCCTTCACCATTTTACTGTAAAATGGAAGTCACATAAAAATGTTATCCAAAAGAAACCATTGGAGCAGATAGTATTTTGGAAAGCTTAATGCATTCACTAAATTATTCCATTTATTTTGATGGAATAAATAACAAGTGCTCATAGACTGTGGTAGCAGCTGGGCTCTAGGAATGAATTAAACATGGGTTCTACCTTTATAGAGTATTATTTAAATCAGTGTTCACTGGTCCTACAAATCTGCAACAGGGAAGGAAATGTGAGATATTGATAATTGCCCTCCTATTATTCCTTCTGGATGTCTTGGCAAACCATGGAGAGAGAGAGAGAAGGAACAGGATTGAGATCATCTGGTGGGCTCTGAGCTTTATTCTAAATTGTACTGATCATTAAAAAAAAAGAAATTTGACCCACACTGTACTTGGCTTAAAGTATTTTAAGGTAATATAAGTTCAGTATAGAAAATTTTATAACTGAGACACACTGTGGTACACGTTTCCTCATAACCTTGTCCTATCCTGCCACTGGTTAGCTATATGACTTTGGATAAGTCATTTAAATGTTCTGAGTCTCAGTTCCCTCATTTATTTGATAAATGAGAGAGCAGAATTGGATCAGGATTTCTCTTGATGTATGAGTCCCAGGACAAGTAGTGTTCAAGGCAATGCAGGCAGCATATTGATGAGCATTTCTTTTTTTCTTTGTGTATCACAAAAATATAAATACTGCTTCAAGCTTATAATTTCATAGAAATTATAGCTTAGCAGAAGGCTAAATTAAAGAAAAGGGGAAGGTAATATGAAGAATTATATCAAATAAATAAAAATAAATAAATAAACCAATCATGACCAAAGATTTTTAAAGTGTGTGACTTACTGAGGTCCAGAAATACTTAAACATATGATCCCTTCCTTTCTATCGGCCCATAATTAATTTTATATTTAAGTAATATGGTTTTCCTATGAAAAATTTCTATTGGAAACAGTATTGCAGTATCCAGAATAAACTTGTATCCAGCTTGCTCAAATGACCAGTAAACCAGACCGTTCTGAATGATCTTTTCATGCACTTGTCTTTATGTGAGTCAGTCAGTCACTGCTGCTTCAGATGTAATCTTATTTTTGTTTCCCTCTGTTGTGTTTTCAGATCAAATTTTTGACAGAAAGGATGTTCAAACATCTTCGGAAGTGGTTTGTCACTCATTTTTTTGTACATTCTCGGCAGAGGTCAAGGCTAGTTTCCAAGGATGGAAGGTGCAACATAGAGTTTGGCAATGTGGATGTGCAGTCAAGGTTTATATTCTTTGTGGACATCTGGACAACTGTGCTTGACCTCAAGTGGAGATACAAAATGACTGTTTTCATCACAGCCTTCTTGGGGAGTTGGTTCCTCTTTGGTCTCCTGTGGTATGTGGTAGCTTACGTTCACAAAGACCTCCCAGAGTTCCATCCTTCTGACAATCACACCCCCTGTGTGGAGAACATTAATGGCATGACCTCAGCTTTTCTGTTTTCTCTGGAAACTCAAGTGACCATTGGATATGGATTCAGGTGTGTGACAGAACAATGTGCCACTGCCATTTTTCTGCTTATCTTCCAATCTATTCTTGGAGTTATCATCAACTCTTTCATGTGTGGTGCCATCTTAGCCAAGATCTCCAGACCCAAAAAGCGTGCCAAGACCATTACCTTCAGCAAGAATGCAGTGATCAGCAAGCGGGGTGGGAAGCTTTGCCTCTTAATCCGAGTGGCTAATCTTAGAAAGAGCCTCCTTATTGGAAGTCACATATATGGCAAGCTTCTGAAGACCACAGTCACTCCTGAAGGGGAGACCATTATTTTGGATCAGATCAATATCAACTTTGTAGTCGATGCTGGCAATGAAAATTTATTCTTCATTTCCCCATTGACAATTTACCACGTCATTGATCACAACAGCCCTTTCTTCCACATGGCAGCAGAAACTCTTTCCCAGCAGGACTTTGAATTAGTGGTATTTTTAGATGGTACAGTGGAATCAACCAGTGCCACCTGCCAAGTCCGGACATCCTATGTCCCAGAGGAGGTGCTTTGGGGCTACCGTTTTGTTCCCATAGTATCCAAGACCAAGGAAGGGAAATACCGAGTGGACTTCCATAACTTTAGCAAGACAGTGGAAGTGGAGACCCCTCATTGTGCCATGTGCCTTTACAATGAGAGAGATGCTAGAACCAGGATGAAGAAAGGCTATGACAACCCCAACTTCATATTGTCAGAAGTCGATGAGACAGATGACACCAAAATGTAGCAGTGGCTTTTTAACTGGAGTAAAGCAAAGTCTTCTAGATATCTAGTGACTATAAGTATTACAACGTAATCAACAGTTTAGGGGTATGAAAGACCCTTCAAAGTCTACCAGCACAAGGACACTTGAGCCTCATAACTGTGATCCTACAAATCACAAAGCTCTACAAGTCTATTGTATTAGCACACATGGTGCATTTATATTAATCTGGCATATGGAAGCCAGATAGGAGCTCATTTGGAATCTTGAATATGATTATTTGAGGTTATGCAATGTTGATGGGAACAGGCCAAATCATCAAAAGTCTTAAGGACAGATCAAAAGTGATACTTTTTAAAGTTTCTTTGAAGAAGTTAGGAGCTTTAGATAGGATCAGGGAGCAACCATATTTTCATTTTGATTTTACTAAGGAGAAAAAATAAATGTCACTTTCATTTTAACATGGACTTTTGTCACTGGAAAAAAATTGTCTTTGGAGTCTGGGGGAGATGAAATAACCAATCAATGACAATAAGAAGAGACTGCTACACAATGAATGATTTGAGGCTCTAACCTTCTTGAACTCTGGTTGTTGGAGACTTCGTCTGAATCTTGGTCATACTTATTTCAGGAGAGGCGAGGAAGGCATAGTCCAAGGACTCTGCAGGGACCAAACTTGCTTTGCCTTATGGCCTATCCAGATGCTGAGGCCCCCACTGAACTTTGGCCCAAATGATATCATGCAGTATGTTTAGACAGAGGCTAATAATAATATACTCAAGAATCTCAGTGAACATTTTCTTGCTAAACAGAATGTTTGATATTGACCTTTAGGGAGAGGTTTTAATATGAATGTCTTGTTCAGTTTTCCACATGCATTATTTTGAATGTATCCTGGAAAAAATGGAACTTGAAGCTGCTTAGGAATCAAAATGTTTTCAGTGCATTTATTAATATATTAAATTTCTGAAACTGCTCAGGCACTGTCCAAAAGTGTCCATTAATATGTATTAACTACGATGGGAAAACTGACGATAATACTCTTGCCAGGGATGGACTTTCTCCTGGAAGGGGTGGGACTGGTAGGAGGAAGGCAAATAGGATACATTTGTTGTCTTGACTCTCCAAGAGTAAATGAGTTTGGCTGTAGACACACCCCTTCCGGTACAGCTCCATCAAATCTCTCCAGTGTGAGTCTTGGCACATGTAGGGGCAGCTGCCAGCAGTTGTCAGTAGCGACGGCTTTATTTTTCCAGGCCTGGGGTTGAGATTGTACAAATCTATATACACACACTTTAGTCCTTCTGACCCAGACCAGAGGGAATTCTGATGGCCTTGGATTGTGCACCTTCTCTGTGGCCATGGCCATGGACACAACTGGCTCACAGGAGATTACTCTGTGCCTGTGAATACTTTAATATCATAATTTAATTTGCTGGGAAAGATAATAGAAATCAGATATCCCAAACTTGAAGAAGCTGCAATTCTCCGCTGGCCCGTTGACATGAGGTTTTGTGACTCTGTGGCTCTTTGGCTCTTTATAGAATGGAAGGGTAATGTATTGATTCAGTCATTCACAACAGAACATGCTCCTCTGGTCTGTTCTGCTGGTTGGTAACATGCTTGGGGACAGCTGGAAGTGAATGCTCAGAAGCAATCCATTCCCTTTGGTTGTTAAGAGAGCTTAAAGAATCCAACAGGAATCTTTGTGATTGGCTTTTGTTTCTGGGTTTGTCTACTTCCCCAAATTCCTTTATTAGGATTAAGACACCCTGCAATTGGAGACCTCTTTTTAATACAAATTTTCATTGAACATCTAACAACCATTAAAATACATCCAATAAAACCCTTAGGAAATGGGATGTGGGCACATAACTTTAGATAGTTCTAGGGGAAGTTGGAACCCTCCAAAAGCATAGGAAACTGTGGTAAGCTGAGGCAGAAAAATCACAAGTTTGAGGCCAGCCTCAACAATTTAGTAGGACTCTTAGCAAGGAGAGAAAGAGAGAGGGAGAGGGGGGTGGAGAGAGAAAGAGAGAGAGAGAGAGAGAGCGAGAGAGAGAGAGAGAGAGAGAGAGAGAGGAAGAAGAGAAAGAAGAAGAAGAAAAGGAGAGGAGGAGGAGGAGGAGGAGGAGGAGAGAGGAGGAGGGTGGTGGGGGGAGGAGGACAGGAGAGGAGAGGGAAAGAAAGAGAAGAGAAAAGAAACCAACTGGGCATTTTGAAAGGGAGTTAAGAAGAACATGTGTGTGTGTGTGAAGGGTGGCTCAGTGAATAAAGAAAATAAATGGGAAGCAGATATCATCAGGAAACCAAATTTCTTACAGGTTAATGCCACTGCTAAAGGTAGGGGTTTTATTCCAATGTAGTGACATTTTTCCCAGTAGAACCTGACCACATCAATATTCATGTTGTTACAGGTGTGCCATATTATTATATTTGCTGACTTCTCCATTTCAAAAGCAATTCTATATTAATTTACATTAAGAAAAGGTACATTCTACAATATATTATACTGAAAGTTTTCCTTGGTACGATTCCCCTTGAATTGCCTAATTTATCTCTGTTGCTTTAGGGATTTTGACTTAAGAGACACCTAACCCAGTTTAACCTTCCTGGTCAAGGACCAATATTTAGAGTGAAGATCTGAGAGACTGCTGCTAATAAGAGAAAAAAAGAGAAGATCCTAAGTGGCCAGTCAAATCAAGGAAGTGATATGATTACTGTATTTCCATCACTAAAAGGTGTGACACAGGACCTTAAGAAAAGCTTCCCAAGTAGATGGTAGGGACAATTGCGGAGGCATCTTCCTTGGAGAGTTTTCATAAAACCAGAGATGGGTCTCCCACAGGATGCTGCAGTGAATAGCATGGAGAATCTTTCCTCCTCTAGAAACAGTAGGGAAGCCTCTGATGGAAAAGAATGCAAATGAACGCTTGGTCCCGCCCCTGGGCCGTTGCTGTCTGCCATTACAGGAAGTGTGTGTCAATCAAAGCTTGACAGGGGAGATAGAACATTTTATTTTGGAAGCCAGAAGTTTGAGAACAATGACTGGAATTTCCTCTTTCTGTCCGGCAAGGGCTGTTTGTCATTGGGGAGATAAAAGTCCAGGGGTAGGGAATAAAGGTTATCGGGAACTGCGCAACACAGAGGCATGTTGGGGGGCGCGGTGGGAGGAGGGGTTATGGAGGAAATCTATTTCAATGCCTGTCATTAAGTTTCCATTAAAAGAACATTCAGTTAGGAATTCAAAAATAATTTAATCTCCCTAGCCAGATGCACCCAGCTGGGCTCCTTGGAGCTGAGCCCTGTAGAGAGGGAGATCTGCACACCCGCTGAAGGGGCTGGGAGCTGGTATGCATCTCCATCCAGCGCATCCCTGACTGCTTTGAATGTTCTAGAAGACACAAGGATCATTCAGGCGAGTGGACTTGTGCCATGGTACCAGAAAAATTTAATATAAGGGTATTTGCCAAGCTTTTTCTATGTCTGAGGCTGTCTTTTAAGCATTTTATGTACACTAACTCATTTAATTTTCACAAGAATCCTACGAGGTCATTAGTAGTATTAGACCTATTTTTCACATGAGTCAGATGAAATAAGGAACTTGTCTAGAGTCATGAACTAGAAAATGGCAGGGCTGGGACTCAAATCCATGTTGGTCTGTCTTCAAAGCCCAAGCGTTTAAAATCACTTGTCTATGTCTTAAAATGAATTGCCCTCTGAGAAGACTCACTGACGCCATCAGATATTTACTAGAAACCCACTGTTGGTGCATGGTCTTACACTTTAGCGAAAACACTCATTGCTTAGCACAGGTTAGATCCCCTGTTCAGGGCTTAATAAGCACCAATAGAATTACATGTTCTAGGAGAACGTGGTGTTTTTCCAGGGATTTTAGGTAACCTGTCTAGTGTGTCTCCAGAAGTATCATGGGCATCCTGAAGATTTGCCTATCCTGTTGGTACAAACTATCCTCTCAATACTATACACACACACACACACACACATGTGTATATATAGTACAATATTCTCTCTATATTATATATACTACATATATGTCAGTAGTGTATATATATATATATATATATATATATATACACACACACACAATACATGTACCAGTTGTATATAATTTAAATACATACACACACACACACACACACACACATCACTATTTCACTCTCTAAGGTGGAGACAGTTATTATTCCTATTCTGATAAATGGAGAAACGGAGCCTCAACTATCCTTGAAGAACAGGGTCTGTGTTTTCTATTCAATTCTATATTCCTAGCACCAGCACACTTACTGACAAGTCAACAAACATTTTTGAATAAATAATTTTCGAGAACGTACATGGCTAATTGTAGATTTGAACCTAGATCTGTCCAAAGACCTTTTGATCAAGCTACAATATTTTCTAGCTGAGGGGCTTTGATAGGGGTCTTAACTTCATTGATTCTCAGTTTCCTTTTTTATAAAATGGAATTTTAAAATATAGTTGAGGAAAGATGAGTAAAATGATAGATGTACCTGCTCTTGGTAGAAAGTAAAGGGCAAATGAAGAGCCCACACAGGGCAGGAGCAATAGTGTTGAACCCCAGGGGGATGCAGGGAAGGCACTGGCCCACAGACAGGGCAGACCCATGAGGCAGGGCTCTACCAGAGATCAGAGGAGGCCTCGAGGAACAGGTGAGAGCACCCAGAGGCCCATCTGAGATGGGATGGGGCGAGAACTGGGGGCACTGGAGTAGGATCATGGTCCTTGGACTTCATTGCAAACCAACAGATGTTTGTATGGAGCTCCCTGTGAGTCACGCACTGTGGATACCATGATGAGGGAGTAGGGATCGTGCTCACTGGAAGGAAGGATCCTGGGCCTTAACCAGCCCGGAGGACCAGAGCTAAATTGCAGAATTGTTGGTTGTGGAGAAAGTCACTCCTTTGCCTTATGTAATAATGCTTATGGTTTAAAAAATTATATTGGCCCTACTGTTAACAATAAATCTATTATTAGTTATAGTTTTAAAATTATTTAAGCTTTAAAACAGTTTACCCTGCTAGGGATGAACAATCAACAAACTGTTTTGAAGTCACTCGTAGTTATTCTCTCAGTGTCAGTATGTAGCAGCTTGATACGGATTCAGGTTCATTTGCTTTAGTTTCTTTCTAATTGCTGGATTGCTTATTGTTTTCCTTTTGTGATTTAACTGTTTTCTTATAAAATTATGAAAAAACTCTCCAGGATTTCAAAGTGATAGAAGAGAGTTTAGAAATCTCACTTCTGTTCTGCCCTATGCTCATTTCTCTTCTCCTAATGTAAAGCTAATCATTCTTACTAGATGTAGCCTACTACTGTTCATTTTTTAAAGTTTTTATTTTTAATTGATAAATAATAATTGTATATATTTACAGGGTACAATGTAATGTTGTGATACATGTATGTACTGTGGAATGATCTAATTAGTCTAAATTGCATGTCCATCACCTCCAATATTAATAATTTTTTGATGGTGAGAACACTTAAAATTCTCTTTTAGCTATTTATACAACACCTAATTCCTTGCTGTAGTCACTGTACTGTGCAATAGATCATGAGGTGGTCTTTTTTTGAAAAAATATAAGCAATACATATGAATTTACATTTCATTCTGTACAATGGGTAGGGTCCAGAAGCACTGTCTTGTCTTTTTTTTTTTTTTTTTTCACTTAATACCCTAATCTGCAGATCATCATGTGAGGATAGTTGCTGAGAACATCTACATTGGTGGGATCCATCCCCCGCTTTTCCCTTCATTGTTGCTTTCATAGTAACTGCTAGAATCTTGCTCTGGAGGCCTGGACTTACTTGCTTGATCTTGAGAGATCGTGGACATGCCTTGCATTCATTACAGCCTGCTCCCTTTGTGGGGTCCCTGCAGTGTTCACTCTCCCTGCCCAGCCCAGTAATGAGCAGGCCCTTGGGGCCAAAGTTCCCACAGCA